TGGGAGTGCCCGTCTGTGTCGCGCGGTTACCCGCGGAGGCGCTGGGGAAGCGCTGGGAGCGTTCACCGGTGACGCGCCTGTGTCTGATGTCAAATTATTCTGAAATCACCCATTCGTGATTCGTGAAAAGGCCATGAAGCCCATGAACTCAGTGAGTGTGTGTATATCGTGTATCACAGAATGCATCGGTACATTAAACGTGTACTTTTTTGGTACTCCAGCTTCGAAGTCTGAACACCTATCCCTGGCCCCAAGGACAGAGAAAATAGATAAGCTGTGCGGTTTTCTCTTGGGTCTGTAGGTCCAAATTCTGGAGCAGGAACGAGGGGGGGAATACCGGTGCCCCGTTGGAGCGAGGACGCCCTTCCGTGCTGGGTCCCACCAGCAGTGCCCGGTCTGAGGCCGCTCTGGTTTTGGCAGTCAGCGGGAGGAGTCCTGGCTTTGATTCACAGCCTCCTCCGGGCTGGAGGAGCTCCCTGCTGCAACCCGTGCTTTAGCCCTCTTCCGTCGCTTCAGTACCCCGGGAAGCAACAACCGCTGAAAAGGCCACCGGTTGGTCTGAGCTGGGCTGTTTATTGGCAAAATACTACCACTTCCTCATGTTGAGAGGTATTTAATCAAGTTGCAAGAGGATGAGAAATTATTTGCTGGAGTCTGTATGAAACAAATCTACTGATGGAGACCTTGCAGGGTAAACAATCTACTGTCAGAAATCTGAAAGCATAATGGTTTATTTTCGGTTTGTTAGCGTAATTTCTGAAGAACTTTATAAATTTGTGTAGGACCTTACTAATTTAATCACCCTAATTTATAGTAAACTTTTCATTAAGAGTGAGTTGCCCTTCTGTGCTTCTAAATCATCCAGTAAACAGGGCTTTCAGACAACATATATAGCATATATTTTTATTACTTCAGCACCAATTACCCTGATACTGTTAATACGTGCCAGTAACATGAAAACAAGCGCTGTGGTGTTCTATGAAATTTAACTTTCAATGGAGTTGCCAGATGAAAGAGGCAAATCATTATTTAATACCTTTGTCACGCAAGATAGCGTATATGAAGCCCACCTTTTCAGGGCAGCTGAGAAACGTAGTGAATCTGGCTAGCTTTTTGGCTTAAGAAATACCCATCTAACAAGAGTATTTGAGTAAGCGTCTGTTGATACCAAACTGTGCAGCAGTCAAATAGTTTTATTTACCAGACTTAATCACGTGCAGTGTAGGTTGTTGGAGACGCTGTGCTGAGTACATATGTTAATGTCTGGGCAAGAAGCCTTCCTAATTAAAATAGGATCTAGGTACAGTGATAAAAATATTAAAGGCTGGAAAGACTGAAAATAAGTGGCAAAGAATATAAGTGATAAGATTTGGAGAGTTATACACCGATAAGCAAAATGTCAAATAGTATATATGTATCGCCAATAGCTTAAAGATAATAGTGAAGAATTTTTAACTGCTTTAGTGAGAAAAACCCAGATAAGATTCAGACCAGTTGGTAGATAAAGACCCTAAAACTGTACAACTGTAGCTATATAGAAAAGGTAGATGTGTTTCATAAATTCGGGGGTTTTTTGCTACTTAACTCAGCATAAGTACTTAGTCACCCTCCATTTGCAGTGCTGCTTCTGAGGCTACTGGTAATGAACACTGCACTCAGTAGTTAATAATTGCAAGATTATTTAAATTAAACCACACATAAGCAAAAGAGCTGGGAGACAGATGTAACAAAGTGATGTATTTTATATGGTTTGTTGGTTAGGCATTTTGTTTGTGCTGGTGCATTTGTTTATTCAGTTTTTATCCAAGGAGAAGGAAGGCTGCAAAGGAAGACTGTTCGAGGAGATTAACGAGTACACATCTGCCTTCTGAAGGGCTACTGAGCTGTGGTAACCTTTTAAGTTACATTAGAAATGTACCAGTAAGAAATCTATGTAGAATAAATAGCTACTGATTTTGCAGATCTCAAAGAATATGTAATCCCTCTAGTGGGAAGACTGAAGCCAAGTGGCACGGCATGCTAGTACTAGTGCCTGTTTTTGAGATAATTCAATATATTTTCCTAAGAAAAGACCTAAATAAAATAATTTTGTTTAGAAAATGAAAATTATGCGTGTGATTTACATTCCAACAGCTTTTGCTGGATTCTTTGTAATACAATGTCGAGAAGGAATTCAAACTGGTGATACAATAATACAGCATTACTGCCTTAAAATCTGATCACAGGTCACATTCGCTGTATGTACCACGCTTTCTCACAGAGGCTGGCATAACCCCCCTACAAGTCACGCTTTCTGCTTGCCCCTCTTCCCTCCCTCTGCGCTGCTAAGTCTGGATACATTTAACCCTACCATGAGCTTGCACATGATGGGGAATTCAGCCCCCCTGAACTGAAAGCCTTGAGCCACGCCGTGCTGCCGCTTATGTTCCCATCTGGTGTGGTGGCTGGGAGCTCGGTGGCAGCGTGCTGGGGCGTCATGCCTTCCTGGCAAGCCGGCTGTGGAATTTGTCCTTTCCCGAACTGCAATAAAAGAAGCTAGGGAGGAGAGACGGAATTGAAGTGTAAAGTTCGAATTTCCTGAAGTGTTTACTTAGCACATCTGAGGGGATAAAAACTTGAGAATACTACTTAAGAAGGAACAGAAAATAATCTCCTTACCCTTTTAATTGCCATAACTTGAGAAGAGGCATAAATTCAGAGAGTGGAAAGGTAAATGCAGTAGAGACCTGAAGTCCTTAATACAATGCCTCACTCAGCACCCAGAATGAATGGTGCTCCACTGTTCCTCTGCTTTTTCTTCTTTTTGACACCACCCTTTCTTTTTCTACTTACTGCACATGAATTATACTCAGTTCTGCAGCCAGCTGTTTTATACAAGGATTTTCTGTAATAGCCAAGTTTTATACTGGAATCATCACACAATATACTTGCAAGGATAGGGGACAGGGGAAGGCATTTTTGTCACTTTATAGGTAAAGAGAGGATGGAGACTAAAAGTTTCTATAAATTTTGATTGCCCAGTTTGAGCTACCTAAACGTCCTCCAGCCCCATATGACTTCCAGACTTACTTTTCCCTCCTGCTCCAAACTCTTTAACAGATGCTTCAGTGGTGACCAACTCCCTTCTTTGTTTCCTCTGTGTTCAGACCTGTGGGAATTTTTCATGGCTCACTGGGCATCAGTAAGAGTATCACTGAAGGCCTAAGATGACATAACCTTAATTGTGAATGGTGCAGCTCATAAGGTTTTGGTATCGAGATTTTTGAGACTAACAATCAGCTTTTATT